TGCAGCGAAATGCATCACGTTTCTTGCGCGACATGTCATTTTCATGCAAATCACAATGGAATAGCGTCGCAAACTGACACGTGACACATCCATGAAAAGTCACTTGCAAAAGCTTCCCCCCAATGGCAGCGCCTTAGCGTCCTACTGCGAACGGTTGCGAACGGTTGCGGACGGTTGCGGACGGTTGCGGACGGTTGCGGACGGTTGCGAACGGTTGCGAACATAGAAACAACGGATCGCGAACAAGACTCTACCCCCAGACCCCCAGAGTTAAACGAGAACCCTTCGCTACGCATTCGGGAAAAGTGTGGACTTGGACCTCTTTGATCAGGCCCCATTTAAGTTGTTGAAGAGGCCCAAACACCTTCTTATATTTTCCTTTGGTTCTTTGGTTATTTGATGCAAGTGTCTACGTTGGCTCCTCAGATGGCCTCCCAGAGTCTTTCACGCAAAGATGGAGCTGCTTTCAGGAGTCTATTGGATGAAAGACAATGGCGTAGGCCTCTCGACTGCACGCTGGCCAGATATGGCACACCTCACACATTTGCAGTCTCGGCAACAATGATGTCTAGCCAAAGAAGCTGAAGAATAGCATTGAATAACTGAAGCAAGTGAAGTTCTCCTGCTTTTGCAAAGCGAGAAAAGATGCTCTTGAAGATGAGCTAGATTTCAAATCCCAAATCTTCAAAGCAGATCTTTGTGACAAAAAAAGAGAAGGAAGAAGGAGTGGAAATGAACAAAGAAAGGGCCAAAGATCCAGACGAAGCTATTGCCAACATGGACGCTATTAGTAACAAAGGGCGTTGCCCAAGGAGAGGAGCTGGTGGTGATTCATTGGGCCAAATGGTACGAAGAGGCGACCAGAAACCTTGCCTCGCGGAACGTCTCGGGTCAGGTGAGAGTTTGTACCTTTTCGTTCGAGAAAACACATTCGCGACCACGGGCTTTCCATGGACCCTCCAATGGTCTCTTGAAAGCGGAAGCAAATCGATCATCTCATTCCAAAGCAAGCTGCTTTGACGTATTTCCAGATGCATTGATTGATGTCCAAGCAGAGACTTTGTACGGAAATGGCCGACATCCTTCCGGGTGTCGACGAAGCCAGGAGAAGCTCTTGCTGATCCCCATGGCGACGTTCATGTGGGCTTGGCCCTTTGGGACTCCAAAGAATGCACCCTTTGGTGGAACCATGCACCTTGGACTTCTTAGACTGTTGGAGGCCGCCAGTAGGGTGGCAGAGGACCCAGGACCGGATGGAGGAGGGACCCCGAACCTGCAGAACCAGGAACATCTCTTTAGGTTTTGGGGATGTATTGTTGGGGGGGGTGCAACAGTCAAAGAGCCACAAACAGCCATGCTTGTTGCGGTTGTTGCGTGGGCTGGCTGGTCATGAGATGTTTGTTGATCCAACCACCTGAATTGCAACTTCTTATGCATCTATATGCATGGTGCATATACTGTATAATACAAGAAGCTTAACCCCGAACCTTGTTTGCAAGATGCCATGTTGAACCGGTTGTTGGGAATTGAGATTGAATCGAGAGCCAACAAACCGACCGCAACCAACAGAACCCGGATGTTACTATTTTGTGCCACAGCCATTGATTTCCAGCTTCTCAGCTTGTGCATGTGATTACATGATGCATGCAAAAAGGACAGTCATACAACAAGTCAGAAGACTGAGCCGCATCATTTAAGAACTTGCAAGTGTCCGATGCTGAGGTATGGGCCCCAGACCACTGTGAGTGGGGCGCGCACTTTGCCAGCAGCTGCAACTGCTGAGAATGAATGAGCTCGGAAACGAATACACTGCTCTATTTTGCGTGTGACACATCAAAGATGCCAAGTAAGTCTCAAGCTGCCTGGGACACTGGTGTCCTGCTAAGGTACACTGCTCGGCACTGGCAAACCCCCTCCTAACCCTGGTCCTGCCCCTGGAAATTTGTCCATGGTCTTCGATAGCAGCTTGGCAGTCTTAGCCTCGTGTCCTTGTTCTGCAAAAGTCCAGCAAGCAAACATAATTAGCAAGATGTAGATTAATGTTGTAATAAGGCCTTAATTGGGAATGTTGTGTTCCTTTATGATTCGAAAAGAAGTGGTTGGAATGGTTGTTGCTGCTGTCGTCATTGTTGAGGCCTAGGCCCCTAGGCCTAAGTCAAGCACTAGCCAACTAGCAGCAGTTGAAAAAGCAGATCTGCTGTTTGTGCGTCAGAAAACGCTCAGACTGACTCCAGTGACTCCACTCCCTCAGGTCTTCCGGTGAAGAATGGCACTTTGCAGGGCCACAACGCAGATGTGCGTGATGCCCATTGGGCCGCAAAGAGGGGAAAACATGTGATCAATCGGGGTCACCCAAAGGTGTTGGGAGAACGGAGCACGCCATGGTTGGATACGGCATCGTGGTATCATGTTCATAATACAAAAACACAGCAACCACATCCGAGGATATTGTGGACTTGGGGACCTTTCTGCCGATCTGTCCGTGCTGTGCCTGTATCCGTGACCTGGCAGATGGTGTCGTGAACAGGAAGCCCTCGGAGATGTATGAAGGAGCGATGTTTCTGTCTTCAAAAAGGATTCTGGAGATGAAATTGCCAACATCATCCAACATTAAAGTCTGAGCCATGTGGGGACCTAGTACTACTGTCAGTACTAAGACTGTACTAAGTCAGTACTAAGACTGTAGGTACTAAGTAGGTAGACCTACGACCACTTCTTAGGTGGAAAGTTCACCATGGAGCTCTTGTCCTCAGAGAGCTCCGAGCCCGGCTCTCGCTGGAAGCGTGGCATTTGGTGGGGTTTGGGCACCTCGGCTGCTTCTTCGGTCTCGGAAGTGGAAGAATGGCCTCCACTGAAGAAGCGACCGTTTTCACTGATCTCTCAGCGACCGAGACCCGCTGTTGATTTTAGGTTGATGGAGTAGTTCGCCCATTCCGATGCGAAAAAGGCCAGGAAACATCTGCGCAGCACAGAAACTCCCAGATTGTTCGAAGACCGGACAGAAACTCCAAGGGTGTTTCCGTTGGCTCTGCGAAGAAATAGTCTGAAAGGGCATTGTTCGTGTTACATTTGAGTGGCCGAAGAGACAGTGCAAGCGACATGGTCTATCCGTATCCCATCTATAGGACTGCAAGAGGAATGTGTGCACAGGGTGTTTCCAAAACCATTGCAGCCGGTCATCAGCTCGATACTGATTCGCAACCCTTGAAGTTGAGGAGATACTCAACCTAATACTAACGGAAGACTGGGTATACCTGCGGTTTTGTGGGTCACAGCCTCCTCTGAGAGCTTGTCATGCCTGTCATCGGTATCCACATTCCATTTGATGAACACCGAGACTCGAGTCCTTTCAGAAATTCATGGGGCACGTGCCAGGCTTGACCTCGCCGCATGTTCGTCGGACTTGCCAAGGTACTTGTACACCTTTGGAGTTCGGCTCTTACACCTTGACGAAGGTGATGATTCTTGCACTGCAGATTCAACCTTCCATCGTGCCGAAAACCCTGGAGTTCCGGGTCGAACCAATCTCTCACAGAATCTTTTTCTATTTGTGGAGATTGACATGTTTTGTCACTGCTTGACTTCCGAGGAAGGGCAACGGAGAGCCGAACGAGCCTTACTACAGCCACTTGGACATTCTCCGTGGGCATTGGTGGGCCCCAACTGCAACGAACCGGAAGCAAAAGCTGTTGGAACGAAGCATTCATTCACCCTTCTAAGAGGAATAGATATGCGTAAGCCGCAGGGACCTTCGAAGCCTTGTACCAGTCAGGAGTTGTCTTAAAGTGCTACCGAGGTGAATTTCTCGAGTACATGGGTGACGTCCCTCTTTTTGCATGGTCTGGCTTTGTTGACGAGGCACGACTGGTGGTGACTGTGGCCACAAAAACGAATGTCGCTGTAGCTTGGTTTTCGCTCGAATTCTAAAGTGAAGCACCTGGTTGGAGTGAGAAGATGGGCCTTTCCAAGACCTGCTTTCAAGAGGCAAAGGTTGCAGAAGTCTTGAATATTCTCATATCTTCTCCAATCATGTCTCAAAGTACATCAGAGATATTCAATGCTAGCAAGTCATAATATGCTTCTTCCTGTGACAAAGTGAAGTTTGAACGAAGATAACACTAGTCACATTTAGTCACTAGAATCTTGCTTTTACCCTGTTTGTCAAGGTCTCATTAAAGGTGTTTCAAGACGGAACTTTGAGTCCAAATTCCGGAGTTGGTGGGAAAAGGTGCGACCGAAAGAACGGCTCGGCCCCTTCAACGCAACTCGACCAGACCACCGGCAGCGGCCGCGAATACGGCCAGCCCATCTAGTGAGCCAATGAGCGGAGAGCGAGAAGGATCGCCCGAAGCCGATCCAGCGGAATTCCACTTCTGAGAGAAATGGAAAAGAGTAGGAGCAAGGACGCTACTAGGGGCTCCTGGCATCGCTACTAGGAGCAAGAAGCTACTAGTAACAAGGGCATCGCTACTAGTAATTGACAAGATGTTGCATGTCTTGTGGGAACGTTCCTCTCGTTCGCATTTGGAGGTGATCACATGCTTTTGGAAAGCATCCGAAAGTCAGAAGCACATTCCAAGCGTTTGTCCAAAGGAGCAGATGACAATGTTTTGAAAGTCACCTAGAGCCTGGCCAAGGTGTTCAGGCAACCACACGACGTCTTCAATGGCGTGTGCATCGTCATTTTTGCAAAAAGAGAAGAGTGGCAAGCGGCAAGACGCTCGCAGAATGCTTTGTGATTGCCCGGGCTAGAACCAGAGACATGTCGCCAAAGTAGCATGCACCTTTGCTTGACACTTCTGAGGGCTGTTTTTCAAGTTTCCGTAACAACCCCTTTTTGGAGGGCAGACGTGGAACGGAAGGTTCAAGCTGGATTCGAAGGAAGTGCCAAAGAGGGTCCAAGTGGGAGTACTCCTAACTCTGCCCCAAACGTCTCAAAGCTCAGAAAGTGTCGCATTCCACGTCTCATTCTCTGGGTTCAGCGACCGCGATCATGTCAGGCTCGGTCTGGCTACTTGAAGCATGGCTTGAGCACTTGGGCCCGGCACTGCGATGGAGCGATCTTTTGGGATGAGCCGCTTGGACGATAGCGGTTTCAGCAGTCTCAGCGGTCTTGGTAGCCGGAAGGATTTGGGAAAAGCGGTCTGGGGCCGGCATAGAGAAGGTGTGTTTGTGAGGGTAACTCAGTCCGAGGATTTGGCAGGTTGTGCAGAGGAAGGCAGTGACCTTTGATCCGGAATTTACTAAAGATGTTTGTTGCCAAAAGAGTCCAATGATACGGTATGTATGGCTGTCTCAAACCTGACAGTCTTTAGGTCTTGGACTCAGCTTCCTCTCGCATCAATACTCTTTGCTCCACAAGAAGAGTCCTTCTTTTCCAAGTAGTCAGTCTGCAGGAATCGTTTGTTATCCTAAAGAGCTTTCCTTTTGTTCCCCAGATGCCGCAGCAAAAAAAACTTCATACTTCTCAGTGATGGAGTCAGACACTGACCGAAGATTGCCGCTCTCGCTGCTGTGTTGTGTCTCCCTACTTGTCTCTTGCGTGAGCTGTATACGCTGCTGTAACCTGTATATGTTTAAGTTTACGACCTGACTGTGTCCTTGTTTCTCATGACCTTTAGACCCGTTACGTTCGTAGCGTCCGATCGCTCCTAGTACGGCCAGGAGCCCCGATCCTAGCGTCCGATCGCTCCGTTCGTAGCGATGCCAGGAGCCCCGTTCGTAGCTTCTTTGTTGTTTTTGTGTTTCTTTGAAAGATCTCCAGGAATCGCGAGGAGATCGCGGCCCTGGATGCTCAGTCTGCTTTGGGCGAACCAGAGCCTTTGGACTTCAGGCACTGCATGGCCATGGCGCTGTGAAGCATTGATTCAGTTGGAAATTCTGTTGAAACTGGAAGAAGAACCTGAGAAAGAGGGTTTGATTGCCTAACTCTGAAATTGTGTGCTTGGTTCATGGTTTTCGCATTTCTTCAATGAGCCTCAACTCTTCTCCCTGCAAGAACCCCGTGCAATGCTTGAGCCAACAGACTACAGAGCCGGACGAGAACGAAATTCACGGTCTCAGGCCAAGGCCGTCTGGCCTGTCCCACCGCTGGATTCGCACCAGACGTTTGTGGCGACACATCTTTCGTAACGTGGCACATCTTGGTAAAGAGGTTCCACCGGAGAACTTGTCCGGCTTGTCCTCCTAACCAAAGTTGCAAAGGATAATAGCTTCTTGTTACTACTAGTAAGGCACTTGTTACTAGAAGCGATGCACTTGTTACTAGTAGCTTATTGTTTCTAGTTTAGTTACTCACGACATCTCAAGACAATTCCCCTTCCCAGCTGGTAAACATGAGTGTACTCTCGCAGATAGCTGCTATATGGCTTGTTCTTGACTTGTGAGAGATGTGAAGTTTGGAGAAAAAGGGTGATCCTTTCAATCAACCGTTGACATGCAATTTCAACGTTGCTAGTTTTGCTACTGAGGAGGGATTCAGCGAATAGGACGTGAAAGCTGCGAGGTTCAAGTGAACCCGATGCTTTCACAGTGGGCAAACATTCATCCATTTTTGTGTGTGTGCTATGACTGTGTGGGGGCTATGGCTTCAGGCAACGAAGTGGAACACTATGATTGGTTCGTCTCCTTTGATGACGGTGGCTTTCCGATTGTCGAAGCGCGGCCGCAGCGAATCCCAGCTCTGCAGTTCCAGTCATGTTCTTCCCCAGATGCTAGGCCAAGCCATCAGACTTTGAGAACTAAGTCCTCATCCGGGCTTAGCTGCAGAACAATCAGCATCATCAACAGAACAAATGCACAGGCTCAAATGCTGGTATGACTAGCAGACATTGAATTCACTGGAAGGTGTCGCAAGGTATGACTAGCAGGTAGATGTGTGAGCGAAGACCCAACCCATGTCCACTTGGTCCACGGCCTCAGGAGAACATCCGGCACTTGGTCCGGGACATGAATCCGCAGAACGCCGTGATGATGTCGGACCGAGACAGGCGCAACGCATCCGATGGATCATGTTTGGAGGCCATCGCTACGAACGGAGCGATCGGACGCTACGTACGATCGGGGCTCCTGGCCTTACTACTAGTGACAAGAAGGCTAGTAGGTGGGAGGCCACCGCTATTAGAGTTAATACTGATGCATTATGCATCCGTGATCATCCATGGTTCGTTCCCCTTTTTGCCTGTTCCCATTCATCACAGTATGGACCCATGGAGAAGCTCAGCCATGCTAAGCCTAGTTCCACCAGGTGGGCCGAATATCAGGTAGTTGATAAACTTACTTTTCAAAAGTGAGCGCTTTTGTGCTTTTATTGTACCTTGTACCTTGGTGTTTTGCACTTAGAAATCAGTGCAAGGTCTGCTGGCTTTGGTTCTTTCATGAGCAGAGGGGCCTTAAAGCTCTTGGGCGCTCCTTGGTGGCAAGTTGATCGTGCAATCTTTAGGGGTCCATGGCAGTCAAGAGGATCTGAGCAAGCACCCAGAGTTCGATCTATTCATAGTCGTTCGATGTCGTTAAAAACTTTTGACCTTTGCAGCACTCCCAGAGTTTCTGCCATCTCTCAAGAGGACTGTGGCGTGTTGTGCTGAGGAGGCATTGGACAAAAATCGCCAATGCCCTCAGCCCACTCGAAGCCAGCCTTTATCGAGTTTACAGGCAAGCTTCTTCCACTTCTTGCATCTATTCCATCACATTTGTACCTTACAAAAGGGTCACTCGTGAAAAGCGTCTCAGCAACATATAAAAAAAAGGGATCTTTGTTCGAAGTCAATCCAAATGTGCTTTGTCAAGCATGCAAGCTTGCATGGAAAAGGCCTAAGGCATCATTTTGCGACTGCCACAAGCATTCTTTTAACATTCGACCTCATTCGACCTCTCCTCTCGACCTCCGGCAGTCGCTAGGCCTATGGCACTCTGTGGCAGTGCCTTCACGATGCGACGCGGCGGGTGGCTTGGGACGTGGAGCTGCGACACCTTCTCCGTGCGAGCCCCGAGCGCACGTCTCGCAACCGTGCGAAGTCACACTCAGTCAGTCCCTCTTCCGGCAATGATCTTGTGGCCGAAAAAAAAGGAGTTCAACAACAAATGTTCCTACAAGCAGAGTCGAAAGAATGAAACACTTGGTCATGCCATATAAAGGAGACCCTTCAATGTTTAGAATCTGTGAAAATGTCTGAACATTTTGCTCTGGATCGGTTCCCGTTGTTTTTTGTGTTGCTTTTGAGGCTGCAAAGAGGATGACCACTCAATCTTGAACCTGAAGGCTGGCAGTGGAACATGTTCAGACCATTGCCTCAACATGGCCAAATTTGGCGGTTGGGTTGGTGGTTTGGTACTTCACCAAACTTGAACGTTCTTTGAACAAAATAAACACCTCAAGTACTGCACAGCTTTTGGTAAGATACAAACCCCAATAATTCGACATTCAATTGTATGCAGAAACATGTTTCTAGGCAGGGCTTAGAGCTTTAGAGATTGTTAAGAAAGGTTAGGCAATGCCTGTGTGTAATACAGCAACAAAAAAACGTTTGCATTTTTGTTGCTTCTTGCCAAGAAATGAGTGAAATGAAGCATGCTGTGGTTCCTCTATGCCAAGACATGCCACATACTTTGTTTGCTTTGTCAGTCTTGACCCAGCGAGGCGAGCACTGCCCGTGGGGTTTGCCCCTATGCGCTTTTTGCCTTCATGGTGCCAGAGCCAACGTGGTTAGCAGGGTGACCCAGATTCATGGTAGTCGGTAGGCATCGATGAGAAGAAGTGTTCAATTTGTTCGAACAAAGATTACTACGTTCGCGTGGCACTTGTTACTAGTAGCTTCTTGTTACTACCAGTAAGGCACTTGTTACTACGTTCGCGTGGCACTTGTTACTAGTAGCTTCTTGTTACTACCAGTAAGGCACTTGTTACTACGTTCGCGTGGCACTTGTTACTAGTAGCTTCTTGT